TTTATTCAGCATTTGCTTCACGTGACATAAGCTGCTGCTGCAAACACTCTCCAAGAAAAGAGTTCCCCCATGAAACGGTCCAAGAAAGAAAGCAGAGCATAAGTATTCCGATGCCAACAGCGAAAAGAATCTTTCTTAATTTTGATGATAGCTCTCCTAATAAATTTGGTAGTCAGACTACTTCCAGGTTAGTTTTCCTTTGATCTTCTCTTTTTTAAACATATATTGTTACTATCTAGATTCAAGGTTTATATTTTACCCTGCTCTTGCTTGCCCATAGGGCATTGGGCTATGAGACAGACCAACAAATTGGCATATTTGCTAAAATTCGGAAGAGAAAACCTCTAATCAATTTTAGGCCAGTTACCATATAATTATGTGTAACAAGTGGTTCTCACCCCACGTAGAGGTTTAATTAGGCATTTTATTTTAAGTATGAATAGAATGTTTATACATAGTTTAGTTCTTAGAAAAACTTTGAAAAGTTAAGGTTAATTACCTTAATAAAGACCATATCAGCTACCCATAAACAGCTCTCTTAGCAAGGAAAGCAAAGAAAGAAGACAAGTTAATAACATGAACTAATCCTAAATCAGCAGAGCCTAGAAAACCTAAGAACAAAGCTTGAGTCACTCTTTTACATAATGGACCGGTAGTCGTGACGATCATTTGACAATGCTATTACCAGAACCACAGGGGTAAGATATATTCTTGAAGTTTAGAAACCTCATTAAAATCATACCTTGAGGAAGAAAAAGGCCTCAACGATCTTCTTCCCAGGTTTAGGGGAGTTTCTCAGCTGCTTTTGAGATTTACTCTGTCCCCTCTTCACTGGTTTCTCTCGTTATCTCAGTCGAATCATTTCTGGCTTGAACCTTTAGCTGTTCCAAATTTTCTTTCAAAATGATCATCATTCTCTAACAAATACTTCAATATATAGGAGAAATTAAGATAACCTAATAATAGCAAAGAGGAAAGAAAATTAAGATAATCTACTAAGATAATCCATTCCTGCACGCATTCACTTCTGGATTAGTCCAGTCCTATAATGATGAAGAATTAGAAACTAACATGCATTCAGCCCAGTATAATTTTTTGTTGTCCTATTCTTTCTTTTGTTTCATATTTGGTGAAATCTGACCATGAAAACAAAAATAAAAGCAAAGGAATTTGACTTAAACCCTACTAACCCAAGTCACTGGAACACAACAAAAATATTCATCGATCAAAATTTATTTAAATTGATTTGGACTTCCGAGCCTTGCTACCTCACATTATTGTATCAAAAAATTATATTCTTTTTTGAACAGCAATGTTATCACCTATCAGTGAGAATTAGTTGAGATGTTTCTAGTGTAATGGCTTGATTTTAACTTGATATCTCACCTGGATCTCTGTTCTTTTTTACAGATATCGTTTTTCAAACAATTTCATGGCTCTGTGACTAAGTCAGGCTACATAGCCCTTCGAGA